AATCTCTTAACAAAACAAAAACCCAAAGCCAAGAATGTTTTCCATGGGAAAAAATTCTTAATACAAATTCATTTATCCTAAAATTGAGTTAAATGAAAAGTGCATATTACAGAATGTCTTGTCTTAAGAAACTGAATGATAAGAATATTTTAAGATTTTAATGATAATATTTATAGAAAATGTTTAGTTATTTATAACTTATTTTAAATTAAAAGTTTTAAACTAATTAATTGTAAGTTGTAAACTTAAGAAATTACATCAATATAATTATTTATGACATTTTTCTTTGACTTGAAAATTATTAAAAAGTTAAAAGTATTCCTGTAAAATTATGAATCCAGTAACTCAGTAGCATTTCAGTTTGTATACTAGATTGAAGTTATAATAAGCTCAGGCTTCTACAATAGGAATTATTTACATACTTACACTCAAAAAGAAGGAGCTGAAGGAAATAAATTACAATGCTGAACTGTTATATGTGCCATTAAAATTATGGCAAAGTTTTTTGCAAATTGGATTATGAGTAATAGTAATGTTATAGTTCCAGAATAAGTGACATTCAATAGAATATGTTAGAAAAATCAGTCTCTTAAAATTCTCTTGAAATTTGCAATATGTTGCAAAGTTGTATAAAGACCACAAAATATTGCAATAAAAATTTGTCACCAGCATTTGAATACCTCTTAAGCTATTTGCACAATTCTAACATCTGTTTTCTTAGAACTGTAAATGCTACCAAATAATAGTAAAGCAATTTAAATGGATGCAAACACAATAATTATGAACATAAATTTAAAAGTTTCACAAAATTTACTGCAAACATAAAATTACAGTAAAATAATAAACATAGTAAATTAAAAATGTGCAGTAAAACAATATTTCTAGTTTTCCAGAAATAGGTGTAGGAAAAGACCAGTATTGATAATATTTCACTCAATTGCAGCTATGTGTTTATGACTTTCTTTGTCTTTGGTATTAATTGGGTATTTTGTGCAACATATTTTCTTTTAAATATTTTTCCATCATTTTCATATATTATTAGCAGCTAGCAGAATTTCTTTCGTATGAACCTATAATTCTGAACCAGGAGGAGGTTATCTCTGGTAGGGGGGGGGACTTCCATACTTTAAGGGATGAATTTGGTCAATATTTCATTTAACTGTTAAGTATATATAGTTTGTTTATAAAAATATATATATTAAAAAACTATTATTCAAATTTTGGTATTTATCTATATTTTCAGTACTTTTTTATTATTATTATTATTATTATTATTTATAGAATGCAATAAAAAATTTTCTTAATTAACAAGAAAGTTAATTAGATATTAGATTAAAGTTCTTCTCTGTGTAGTTTCGTACCACTTTTTATGTGTCACATGCTTTTGATTAAAATACTTTGCATTTTAACAATTGTCTTCATATTTTAAATTATAGTAAGCTAAAATAAAATTTTCAATTTGATTTTGAGTAATTTTATTTAATGTAAATATTTTTATAGGAAACATTAAAAGTATTTTAAACTAAGTAATGTTTGTTTGATGATCCCAGTCATATAATGCAAATGTGCTGCACTATACTCATATAGTCCATGGAAAAATTTAAATGAATCTTCCCTTTTTTTTTTTTCTCCCTTCATCTTTTCATGTGTATTTCAGAAAGTGTGCAGTTGAAATGTTTGATAGCTAGGTATATAGGACGATTTTATTTCAGTTAAATTCCATTCTTTCTAAGCTCTTTTTTCAGTCTTCATATTTATGTATCATGTTTTTCTTGTGTATGTATATGATGCAATTTAATGTAGCTAATGTATTGTAATATATGGGTGTGCCGTAACCTTCCTGGCCGATAATAATCACCATCATGGTTAACACAGCACACCTAGCACTAAAACAGAAATACAGTCAAAAACATCAAACCCAAATTCCCAGTATTGTTCTATTGCTTTGTAAATCTAAACTCCTAATTGCAGTAGTAGAATTCCTTTATGTTACCATGTTTTTCCCTAACGTGTCACAATAATACGCAGAGTAAAGAAATTCCATAATGAACTATGTAACTATGTTTTTGAATTTTATGCAAGTCAATAATTTAAATTTACAACATTAAAATAAATCCTCTTTAATGTTATAAACTTTTTACACTTTAAAAAACATAAAATTATCTTTTCATGTTTTGGGAGAAAAGAGAAGAAAAAAAGATTCACATATCATATTATATGTATATATTTTACAATGTAATCTTGGCTGAAAATAAACTGGAAAACAGTATTATTTGTATGTAATATTCTTTTAGCCTGTTATGTACTAATTTTTATCTTGACCTGTAGCAGAAGTAAGTAAAATTCCCCAAAAGGATAAATGAAATATGCTTTATTAAATGCGTAGAGAAGAGAACCGAGAAACCAAAACATGAAAATATTAAGACATTTAAATGACTTGGAAGAATAAAATCATAAGGAGGGAGTTACATGGTTGCAAAATATGTCATAATCTGAAGACCCCTCTGTTGCCCTTCAACTTTCTCGACATTTTGGAAATTGTTTCATTTCATCTCAGAAGGTATTTGGTTGGTTGCATATTCACTCCTGTACACTGGAAAACTAATGCACCCCTTATACTTGTTAGATTGTCTACGATCACACCTGCTAAAAACTTAAAAGTAATCCTTTGTTTGTTGGACTGGTGCACTTCTGCTTGCCCTTAGCTGTTGCAGTGTTACTTTCAGCTAAACATGATTACACTGCACTGTAGCTAATGAATGATGATCAGAATAATCAATCACTACACAAAGTAATCAAGCAGTTCAGGTCATATTTAAATGCCTGTTTTGATATCCAGTTATAAATAAAACAGGAAAGACAAGGAATGTTAATTGATTTAGCTTTATGAAAAACTAAGTACTGTAAACTAGTTTTAAAGGATTGTTAGAAATGGTTTTAAAAAAATCGAAATGAACATCACTTGGTAATAAAATTATGTAAGCTAAATAATTCAGTCTAAGAGATAAGCTTTAATAAAAAATTAGAATCTGCTTATTCCAAGTTTTGCCCTTAACATGTGTGTACATCTAAATGAAAACTTTTTTTTAAAATTGTACCTGTATGGTAGTGAGAGGGGAATTATAAAAGGAATAAAAGAAAATGAGAGGTAATCACATAGTCAAAATAAGCATTATTAAGAAATAAAAAATTTATTGATTGATTTTTCTAAGCCTTTCATAGGAGTTAAATTTCTTAATCAGTAAGATAGTACATACAACTGTATCTAAAATCTGATTTTTCTTTGACTGTCTGAATATCTGTAATTTCAGTCTTTTTTACATTGCAAATGCAGTTTAAGTCCAATGAAGATCTTGTGTGCTATTCCACAGATAATATTCTAAGATACTTTCGATTCAGTTACTAGAATCTTGTTTCCAGATCATTAAAGTGAAAATATATGCATATTTATTTTTATCTTATTCATTTATACGAACTCTGAGTTTTATCAAATGAAGTCCACTGAACTGCTCTTTTGCCGTTCTTGATTTTGGCATTTTGTTCATGTATTTTTCAAAGAACATAAATATTTTTAAAATATTACTATTGCAAAGAAATCTGTCAAGCTGATTTTTAACCCTTTGTTGCATACAAATAATCTAGAGAAGTTTAACGAAAATGATTGTATTTTTTCTACTTAAAATAACCTTAGTAATAATTAAAAAAATTTTTTATTCAAATTTCGTTTTAAATAATTGCTTCACTTTGTTCACAACAGTGGACAGCATGCATATACGTACATGCATACAAATCTCTTCCCAATGATTTACGGTCATTGCATTTGAAATCATTTCCTGCCTTGTTTGCAGTGATATCTTCTAAATGGTAAATCTACAACTGAAATGGACATACGGATTACCCAAAATACCTTCATTTTGTCGATTGTGATTGAATTCATTTTGCTACGATTTTGTAACCTGTACCTATTGGATTCAAATGTCAAATGTTATAGAAATTCCTTGCCAAACAAGCATTTCCAGTGGTGTTTTGGCTTGATAAGCAGTACATTTTTCATTCACCTCCCTTTTGGTAGATCTTTATCCACCCACTCCACAATTTTCTCAAACTGACATTTAAAAAAAATGTCTAAAATTACTACTTATGATAAAAAAGGGCAGTTTTAAGAAAATGTAAGCAATATTATATATGTTCAATGAGAAATTGTACTAACTTGGAAACAGAAGTAGCAGCAGCCATTTTCCAAATAGAATGCTTCTACTTAGTGATGCTATAAACATCATCTATGATCGACAGTTTAAGTTCTAATAATTAGATGAATAAACACAGAAATGGAATCTGTTAAGGTATTTACAGAAGAATAAACAAATTTAAACTTTTGTCCACTAGAGTGGACATGATGCAACAAAGAGTTAAATTAGACATGTATACAAATTTCTGTTGTTTGCTGAAATGTTGAATTTAATTATCTAATTCACTGATATTGAACTGAGTGCATTTTTTAAAACAGTTAAAATGAAAGAAGAGTCAAAATGATTATTTATGTATCTTAGCATTTAAATAATTTTAAATTTGCTGATATTAACAAATACTAAATTATTATTTACATCAATTTAGATTCATTATAGCTCTTTCCAGTACTGTTTTTTTAAAAATGTTGATTTATTTTAGCTGATAATATTTTACTTAAAAATTTAATTTCTGTTTGAGTAGTTACTTACCATATAATAATTTTTTCTTTGGTTAGTTAAAAATTGTGTAAGAATTGTATAAAACTCTATTTGCTGCATATAGAAATATATGGAATGTATCATATAGGTTCTGGATATGCTTTTGAATAAGCATAATTTTTGAGATATTGTAGAATTTATCTAGTTTTGCAGGAATCAGGCTAAAAACAGAAGTTCTTTAGACTGGGCATACTCTCTAAACATACATACAAAGTATTATCTTTATGACTTCTTGATATTCAAAATTTGTCTTTTTTTTTTTTTTTTTTCCAGGAATAGTCCATATGGAATAGTACCACCACCGACACCACCTGTGTTACCTAAAGAGGAGGATGGGTCTACTAATAATCCAGAAGGAACTGAAGAGAAAACAGACAAATTATATGCTCTAAAGCAAAGACATACATATTATCAAGTCCCCCCTGGTTCTTCGCAGTTTTTCTTTGGACCGTGTAGACCTTATGCACGAAATGCTAAAGATAAAAGTGTCCGTATGCGGAGGCTTCGTCCTCGCAAAGTATTGTGTTCTAATTGTCAGGGAATGTTTAGTGATAATGACCCCAATCAAAAGAAAGTAGAGGGTGTTGTGACTCGAAATAATGCTAGCAATAAAAATATACACAATGCTAGTACAAACGAGACTGAAAATGGTGCTAATACGGGTAGTGCAACAAATTCAAATCAAAGGATAGCCACTAGAAGTACAAAAACTGATTCAACAGACAAAAATGACAGTGCCTCAACTAACACTTCAAGTACAGACTTAAAAAATGGTCCTTTATTAGAAAATGCTGATTCTAATTTCTTGTCAAGATCAAATCTAAAAAGTGAAAAAATGGTTTTAAGGAAGAGAAAGTCCACTGAACTTGAAAGCTCAGACTCTTCTGCAATGCCTTCTGAGAAATTGAAAAGGGTTGATACATTAAAAATAGAAGAAAATGAGCCTGTGGGCACTGGAGTTGGAAATGTCACATCTTCTAAACCTGGTTTAGCAAAAACAAGTCCTGTGATCAAAATTTCTTTTGCTAATCCTCAAGGACAGGATACTGTTCTAAAAATTCCTGCTAGGATTCAAAATGCTAGTGATACTGAAGAAGATAGCAATTGGTCTTTGCAAGAGAATTCAGACTATAGTACGAAAAACTTTTCTAGTGCGAAGGCTGCCAAGAAAGCTTTAAAAAAGGCTAAGAAAGAAGCTCAGAAAAGAGCATCAACTACTTCAAACTCCACTACTACTGCAGTTTTAAGTCCCAGCAATGAAAATGGTGATATACATGCTGCAGAAAAAGAAAAACACCATCATCATAAACATAAAGTGAAAAGAAAACGAAAGCACAAAAATGGTGATACTGAGACTGAGAAATATGACCTAGAAAACACTGATACCCATAATGTGTTCAATACAAATGGTAATGATGGGTGGTGCCTGAGGACAAGCTTTGCAGGAGATATTAATGTTGTTCCTGGAGAGCTGAATAAGCAAACAAATGTGTTTGAGGATGTGAAAAGTAAATGTCTTCATCAAAAACTGTCTATTAGTTTAAAACGTTTAAATGCCAAAGCTTATATGAGGTGCAGTCCTAAGTATTCTATTGAAGAAGACTCAGTAGCTAGTGATGTAAGTACTGCTAGCAACATTAGTGTTTGTTCTGGATCCGGTAGTGATTATGGCGATGTGCCGGATTTCCCAAAGCATTCTTCGCCTCTCAGGGACATGGACAAGGTGAAACCACTGATGATGAGGATAAGTACCCATAATGTAAAAAAGTGTGTTTTAGACATAGGTCGTGAGATGGCAGTAGGTGATATTGTATGGGGTAAAATTCATGGATTTCCTTGGTGGCCAGGTAAAGTTCTAGCATTGAATGTTTCTCAGAGGGACAATGGAGCAATGCTGAATCAGCAAGCTCATGTGTCATGGTTTGGGTCTTCAACATCTTCCTTTATGCCTTGCAACCAATTAACTCCATTTTTGGACGATTTTAAAATTAGGTTTAATAAAAAGAAGCGAGGTCCCTATAAAGAAGCTATTAAACAGGCCATGCACGAGGCACAGTTGCCTCATAAAGATATAAGTGATCTTGGCCTCATCACATCATAGCATAGGTTTTCAATTAGACTTTTTTTATAATTATCATCAGAAACTGATGCCAATTATAGCTTTAGTGCAATTTTTTTGTGCTTTCAAAAAGTTCTGTTTTGCCCCCTTTATTTTTGCTATTTTGAAATAGTATATTGTTTATTGTGAAAATATATTCAGAAATATGCATTTAATAGTGTACCAAGTATCTGGCATGTGACTGTTTTCCTGTGAGTGTGAAATCTTTTCACGTTTACCTGCACCTATTTCTGGCATTGCTGTGATGACTGTGTAAATATAATAAAGAGATTGATGTTATCATTTTATATGACTTTCTTTCAAATATTCATTCTAGGTGCTCTTTTCACTATTTGTTAAAATTTAAATAATATTTTGATTCTTCATATATGCTGAAGTTAGTATCTGCTTGTTATATACTTTCTCAAAGATATGAATTTTATGGCTTCTCAAAGACTTAAATGTGTTAATAAATCATAAATTACAAACCTATATTTTTTGAAGTGACACTTTGTGATGTAACCAGTGTGTGTTCTCAAAAAATTAAATATTTATATTACAACTGTATAGTACCATGATCATAATTGAAAATTATTTTGATATTCCATAAATATGTATTATTGTTATTTTCAAATATTTTTTTCAAATTTTATTTCCATAAGAACATCTGTAGTCTAGTTCATGAAAATTGTTGTTATTATTATTATTTAACTTTTTTTAGTAATAGGAAGAGAGTTGTTAAACCATTTTTGGTCATCTTCAGGTAAATTCCATTATTAATTATGAAAATCATTCCTGTATATAACATAAGTATTACATATAAGGCAAATTCTTCACCCAAAGTCATACAATTTTCATGGTTTCACACTCACAGAGTGATTACTTAAAAAAGGCCTTATTTTGTAATAAATTGTTTCAAACTAATATAGTGCAGTTTTATTATGTACATGTGTCAGAAGTATCTCAGAATACAGTCTTTCATTACTACATATATTGAAAAAAGAGTTTAAATTTTGATTTGTAAATGTCTCAGAGTTCTGCTTATTTCTTCATCTTTCATTTTATATGAAATTACCATCATTGCTATCTAGTGTTTAATTCATTTTTTATCTTCAAATTCACTTAGGGAAAATTTGCATGTAACATCTTAATAAGTTTAGTTTATATTTAATCAGCTAACTTCTTAGCTATACTGAGGATTCAAGCCAGAGCTGCTTTTATTGCTTACATCCTTAAAGCATATAGAAGTTCATATTTCCTCATCTAACTTTCATAGAATTTAAGGTGAAGATCAACTTGAGTAAGAATTATTAATGTGATTTGGTTGATTTCATGTTTTAAAAATAAGTTTTTAAAGACATTTTAATTCTTTTAAAATAATTTTATAAATTAAGATATATGTTTAGCTTTAAAATTAGCTGTGTCATTTCTTTATCAAAAAAGCAATGTTACACATTTAGTGTGTGTGGGGGGGGGGGGAGGAGCTATCAGAATTGTTTTGTAAAAACTGTTTTTTTAGTGGTTTAAAATTTTGGAAATTTTTTATGTGTTTATTGTGGTATGTAAATTAATTTTTCTTAGTCAGATAATTTTTGAAGTATTATTTATCTGTCTAGATCTCTGGAGGGCATAGCTAAATTTAAGATTAAATTTGCTTCTCAGGGTTAAAAAATTATCTGGTAAATGTAAGAAAATGTAGGTATGACAGAATCACTGGAGAATATCAGAAGAATTCTCAAGAATATTGAAAGTTTGATAGACGTATTGAAAATAGATTTCGTTTTAGGAATATGTCTGTAAAAGTATAATGTAACTAGTTATGAATTTGGAAAAAGAAATGCATTCTTTTGCTATTTTCTAGTTATGGAACATGTTATTTTTAAAGATTATTATATTTTCTGATTTTTGCTAAATTTCCGTCTCTCTTTCCCCTTTTTACAGTAAAAATTTTTTAAATATTTTTGTTCTTATGTTCTTGGAAAATTTCTACTAGAAGTAATATATTAAAGTAAAAAATAATGTTAATGGTACCTTGTTATTTTGTACAATGGATTTATAAGAACTATTTGGTAAGCATATATATATGTTAAATAATTATTCTTTTGCTCCAAACAAATTTATGCTAGTTAATTGTTGCATATTATTTTTCAGTATCTCCTTTAGTAATAAGTAATGTACTGTTACTAAAAATGGCTATAAATGAAATATCATGTACCATAAGTTTGCAAAAGCTTTGTTTCTTGCATCTCAAGTTAGATGCAAAGTGAAAGCATCTTTTGATTTTTATTTAAGATTGAAAATATAATAGCTTAAAGTTAGTTCTTTGTCAGAAATATTTTCTAAAATCCAACATATTGATTTCTTTGGTAGAAGGAGAGGTATCACTTATCATTGATGTTGGTGTTAAATAATATTATTTACTTGTTATTTAACACAAACATCAATGAGAAGTGATACCTCCCCTTCTACCAAAGAAATCAATACGTTGAATTTTACAAAATATTATCTACCATAGTTATCTTCCAATAAAAAAAGTTATCTTCCATAGTTGCAGTGGAGAGTTTTTATAAATTTAAAGAAAGTAAATTATTTAATATAAGTATTCTTTGGGTATACTTTGCAGAATGGAAGAGCAAATGCTAAAAGTCATCCGGTTCATCTTTTTCTGGCTTGAATCCTAATTGAGTTTTAAGTATCATTACCCATCACTATCACATAGATTTTAATTTCCATGTTGAATGAGGATATGCTGTTGTACAGTTAAGATGCATATTAAAAAAAATGTACTGCTGTACATTTTGTAAACTAGTTTTTCTAATTCATTGCTCTGTTTTTGATGGGCATTATTTTGTACTTTCGTCCCCACTGGTTGTACAGTGGGGGAGTAGTGTATTAACAATTAGAATAACTTTTATTTCAGTCTTGAATGTTGTTTCAATCTCTTTGAATTCTTCATTCTTCTATTTTAATAAAAATGTAAATTTTATTCAATAATGTTTCCTGTTTTTTTTTTACCCAAAATTTATATTGACTTCATGATATACTTTTCTTATGGGGAAGGGAGGAAGCTGATCCTTTAAAATATACTTCATGATTTCAGATATACCTCATAAATATCCCTTTGATAAGTCTGTTTCCTGCCTGCTCAACAATTATTAACTTATGCAATTTTTTGGAATAATATTTTCATGGTTTAAAATATGTGCGCTTAAATTACATATGCTCTTTGAATTTAAATGATACTCTAAATTAGTTCCCAGCAATTATAATTAATTTTAATTATTTTTATTTTTTGCAATTAAAATTTAATATTAGCTTTATACGAATAGAGAATATTTGTTAAATTCAAATATATATTTATTATTATACTTTATATATAGTATGTATGTTACCGGCAAAATATGAAACACTGACATTCAATAGAATGCCTAGGCATTATGCTGGATGTTTTTAGGCAAAGTATGAAATATGAGAAGTATTACGTACTTTTGCTAGGCATTCTATAGAATGGCAAATGCTATTTAGCAAAGTATGAAAAAAGTCCTGATGAGACTATTATGTAAATAATCTCAAAGATACAAATGTTATTCTGAAAAAATGAGAGTGCCATTAAAATAAATTATTCAAAATGCGCAAAGAAAAATTAAAGTTGTACAAAACATAATTTGTGCTTTTCTTATTAAGAGAAACAAAATTTTCATATAAAAAAATTACCCTACTTGTTGCAACATGGCAGGCTTGAATGACATTTTGAATTGCATTTCATTACATTTTTTACACAAAGACATTTCATATTTTGGCACTTTGTTTTACACATACATTTGAGGAATCCTTGGCCGCTGTCACTGTACTGAGTAATTGCAACTGACTGGAGAGGAATTTTGTGGTCAAGGAATATCTTCAATTCTAAGCAAATTCTAGGGTATAAAGTGAATTGTGATCTCGCATATACTTGTTTTAAAATTCCTTCAGAAGTTTCAAGTCTATAGAAACCATCCTCTATCACACTCATTACAGCTGCCAATATATTGCGCAAATCACCTCGCCCCTTGTCGACGTCAAGAATAAGAATGTGCACAGTGGCTCTCAAAGAAGCAATGGGAATTTTTTTTTTTTTTTTAATCTCTTTTCTTTTTTTCAAGATTGATTTAGAGTTTATTTTACTTTCGATAACACTTTCAGTTTTGAAACAAATATTACACAAAATAACCTTTTCTAGCATAGTCACAGAAGGTATGAATTTTTTACACAGCAGGTATCGGAAACAAAAATCTCTTCGGTAAGCATGCCTTCATCTTATGTATGTTTTTTAAGTAGGCTCTTTTTCTTGCATAATCTGATTAGTTTCGCCTTTTTCCATTGTTTGGACACTTTCTATTACTTTTTCTAGCTGCTTCTCTGTATTTATGTCTTTTAAAATATCTTCGGGGGAGAAAAGACGTTGTAAGACCTACTTTAGGTTTGCAACCAAAAAGAGCTTCGTATGGTGTTCTTTTGATCCCAGAATGATTAGCTCTATTTTTCATAAATTGTACGAAACGCAGTCCTTCACTTAAGCGGTCAGATTTATTATCTTGCGTCCAAATACAAAGCATATTTTCGATATCTTTATTAGCTCTTTCAACACTACCCTGCTTTGTGAATGGCGAGGCTTTCCATGGACGATCTTCGGCGCTGGCCAAAACTCCTTCAAGCTGGTCACCACATCATTTTCAAATTTCCTACCATTGTCAGACTGTAATATGAATGGCGCTCCAATCAACGAGAATATATCCACTATGTTGTAAGTTATTTCTTCAGCTCTTTTTGACGTTAGAGATTTGAGAATCACAAATTTTGTGAGATGATATTGGTACACCATTAATAAATTTGTATTCTCTATCTGGCTGAGACTGAAAGTCAATAAAGATCTACCTGACAACGGGAATTAAATTCAGAAAAAAAAAAGAAAACAGAGGTTTCACAACAATGCCCTTTCTAATACCTTTCTGTTTTTTCTGGCAAGGTTCACAAAGGTGGATGTACAGTTGAATACCATTACGTAATTTTTTTGTATTTGGTTGAAAGTTCTTTCAACATTCTGTCATGTCCTCTGTGTCCAATAGACAAATGAGCTTCATGAAGTACGTGAAATAACTCAAAAGAGTCCGTGACGTAATACTGTATAGTATTGACGCCTTCTTTTAACAGGATAAATGAGTTCACTTTTGTTTTTCACAATCATTACATCGTAGTGATTCAGCAACCAATAGTCTCTGGGTTCCTTCTTCGTAGTCATTTTGGTTTTTTGTACATCATTTATTAACTTCTGGTAAATAGTTTCGGTTAAGAAAACACAATTTTTTGCATTGTTAATATTTTGCACAGTTTATTGTCGAATCGTTGTTTCATGTCTATAGACCATGACTAGCTAGCTCCTCCATTTTCATGCAGCACAGTGAAAAACTAATTTTTGTTGAACAAATTTAAGTAAAATTGTTTATTTTGACAGTCCTGTATAAACTGCAAAGTGCGATTGGCAAATTCTGAGCTTGAGGTGCTCGTTAAAAGTCGCGTGATTTTCGAAACGAATCGGAGATGTATTTTATACTTTGTCGGTTTCTCATTTGGCATTCTATAGAAAAGCCTGAGAAATGTGTGAAATCTAAATCGTTTCATACATTGCGGGCTAGTTTTAGGCATTATATACAATGCCTAGCCGGATTTCAAACTTTGCCGGTAACATATTTATCAGAATAACTTCATAATTCAGAAAGGCATCAGGGTATGAATAAATTTCCAGTTTTTAAGTACTTATTTTGCGAGTTTAACTGTGTAAACAAAATGACTAATTGAGTACAGTACTTAATTTGTTTTTCTTAACATTTTTTAAAACATTTTACTATTTATAATACTTTTTTCCCTGGTATGAAAGTATAATTAATTCTCGTTTATGAAGCTTTTTTCCACTTTCCCCGTACAGCAGGGCCAGATTACCAATTAGGCACAGTAGGCACGTGCCTAGGGCCTACGAAGGCCAAAGGTCTTAGGGCTTTGAAAAAAAATATATTGAAATAAAAATACCCCAAAAACTTATTATTTATTATATAGTTTTTATATTATTATATAACATTTTTATATTATTATATAGTGAAGGTCAAAATATATATGTAAATACAAATACAACAAAAAATACGAATACAAAACGTTTGGTTTACTAAGTATATCTAAAATAACTCCTTTTTCGGGATTTTGACACAGCGATTCGTTATTTATCTCAAATTAATGCCGCGAGCGACATCACTTCAATACACAAAAGGCCCAGGACGAAGTTTCTCTCTTGACCCATAGTTGAACGCATAAAATTTTTTTTATAAGCTTCAACTGGAGAATGATCTTTCTCCTTCTTGCATTCGAACCCAATATCGAAAGGTATATGCGCAATGCTATTAACATTTGGGAACTTAACACAATTTATCCTTATTTGTAATTTGATGAGATCCGTTATAGAGGTGGTTTTGGGGTACAAATTTGAAAAAATCAAATACTCATCAACAAAGTTTTTCTTCTAAGTCAGACGGATACATTTTTACCAGAGCTTGAGCCTTAACCTTGATAATGTCCCGGGTCATGTATTAATCCGTAAGAAAACTAAATGTGTCATAAAGGCTGGTATACGGCATGCGTCTCTTGTCATTTCAGCGCAAAGCACATCCAGAACAATAAAAAAACATTAATCTTAAAGGAATCTTTGGCCTGCGAGAGGGAGTCTCATCTGGCCCTTCATCATCGACTGTCGTTTTCCTCTTACGAACTCTAGTTTCGGATTCTTAAATTCTGAATCTGGTGCAAGGGCTTTTTGCCTTAAAGATAATAGCTATTATACATGTCCTCATTCTGCAGTGAGATAAATATTGAATTAAACTGGTCGTAAAGTCCGCACCATCGTGTTAAAACTCGATGCCAGGTTCTTGAAGAGATTTATTTACAATATCGACGTGTTTTAGTAGATCTTCCCAAAATAACTGTGAGTAATACCATCCCTCCAAAGTATTCATTGATGGATTAAGGTTTGTGCCTCAATCACTGTTGTAGGTTTCATACCTTCACTAGTTGAAATATTTGTAAGAATACCACGTATATCATCATAATGGGCACATAATGTTTTTACAGCCTCATAACGTGCTGACCATCTGGTCTCTGAAAGTCTTTTTACAAGAAATTTTACTTTCCCAAAGACCTTAGTTTAGACCATCTTTGAGGAGACGCGCTGCAAAGAATGTAGAGCGATTGCAAAATTTCAAAAAATTTTACAGCTTCTAAGCAGCTTTCTGCCGCCGCTGTGCCAACTAGATTAAGACGATGAGCTCCACGTGGTACCCAAGTGGCTGCGCTGTGATTTTCCCTAAATCTAGTTTGTACTCCCGAATACACTCTCCGCTCATATTAGCCGCATTGTCATAAGACTGACATCTGGCAAAAATTTTGGTTCTATTCTGATTTTCTAAAACTGAAATTAGAGTGTCAAAAAGATACTTGGCATCATGTTTTTCTATTTTAAAACAAAATCAAAAATCTTTCATATATATATCTCCAGTTTTTTTGAGACATACCTAATAACTATGGAGAGTTGATCTGTATGGCTAAACGTCAATGTAGAATCCACAGTGATTCCATAATACTTGGCTTCTTTGATTTCTGTAACTATTTTTTTATTTTCCATACTTTTGACCCCAGTAAAATTATTAGTTCTTCATACTTGTGGAGGATAAATTGATACTTTTACGCGGCCTGGATTACCGTATCTTCTTACATGTTCTTCTAGAAACGGATCAAATTTGGCTAAGAGATCGATACACCCAAGAAAATTGCCATTACTAGGATCACCATGTATTTCATTATCGCCTCTAAACGCTAGTCCCCCTTTCGGCCAAAACTTAATTACTTCCACTACTCTTCTTAAAACCGTTGTCCAATATGTGCTTTCTTTTTCCTTGCCAATATCCAACGTC